ATGCAGAGAGGCAGCTGCCTGGCAGCCGCATAGGAGTCAATGGGGGGGAGCACATTTCCCCCCTTTTGACCCACTTAGGGGTCGAATTTTTTAAAAAATCCCTTCTTAGCGAGCACCTACGCCATGGTAGGAGCACTCTCCCTGAATCTGGTGTCTCTAGATCCAGTGGTTTGGCCTGGGCATTGATTTTATGGTGAGGGGACTTTCTTTTATATATATATATATACTAGGAGCAAAGCCTGTTGTATAAAAACAATACAATGAGCTCTAGAAAGAGGGGAGGGCACAGCAGGTGTGCAGAGCCTCCTCCTCCTCCTCCACGCAGTCTTGGCCTCCTCCAAGCGAGCCGCAGCAAAGAGGCAAGCGGTGTTACCCGGCACGTATTCTGGTGCTCCTCCATCGTTAAGAGCACCACTGCCGCCTCTCACTCTCCGGCCGCACGTTCCTGGGTGTGTGTTGGCGGCTGCTGGGCTTCTGCCGCTCCAGCGAGGCCTGCTCGGGCCGGCCTGCATGCTCGGAGCCTTTGTATCTCCAGGCCAAGCGAGGTCAGCTCCCACCCGCTGCCTTGGAGAGACCACGCCAGGGCCAGGCACAGAGAAAGCAGGGCGCTGCTCCTGCCGGTGCTGCACGCAAATGCGAGGCCCTTCGGGGAGGGGAAGCAACTGTGTTCTGAGGGAATTTTTGGCCAGCACGGCTTCTGTGTGCAGGACTCAGGGAATACGGCCAGTGGATAGGGAGACGTGCTGAGTTACAGAGCATTGAGCCAACTGATTTGGGAGTGCATGGAATGTTGCCATCCGAAAACAGAATTATTATAAGGAGAGATGTCATATAAGTTATTTAGTCACTCTTCACACTGAAGTTGTTTTAAGCCATTCTTACTGCGTTCCCAGTGCTTATGGAAGGGGGGGGGGAGAGCAGCGGAGGTGAGGGCCCCTTTCTAACAACCCACCAATAACATAATCACATACAGTGTTTTAGGATAAGTTGTGCAGTAAAATGGTTACAGCTGTAAAATTGGTTACAGCTGTAAGAAGCCTTGGCACAGCATGGATTCACTGGAGCCTGGCATCGACTGACCCTCCTGCCGGTCAATGTACCCCATCCCACCCAGCCCACCTGCAGGGGTAGGGAGAACCATGGGATGGCAGGTTGCCAGATTCCACAAGGATGGTCACCACTAAGTGGTCTCCCCTCCCACTTGAGCATGAGGGTAACCCGTTGGCAGCTGCTGACCTGGGCATGCACCTTGAAAGCCATCATCTCAAGATCCCCATATACAGGGAAACGGCACACAGGCTGATTTCCTAAAATGGATCTGGCCCCATGCTGATACCACCACAAGAGTCGAGCGTTTCTCCCCCGTCCAACTCCTGCCAATGCTCCTACAGCTGTAGCCAAGTCAGTAGGCCATACCGAACCCCATGCAGCCAGATGTTCATTCCCCAGGGAAACGTGGACCCAATGAGGCTGGAATAGGACCTTCAACCAACGTGAGTTCTCCGGATGTTGGATTCTGAGGCCCCCCATGACCTCCATGCTCCTTCCCAGACTGTTGGTCTTCTTCCACCTGGCTGCATCCACCCTTCCGGGGCACATGGCCCCATGCCAAGAGGGCCACTTCAGCCAGTCCAATCAGAGGAAGGTTGTGATAGGGAGCTTTACCCGTAATAACCTCAAATCTGTCTCAATTTGGCACCTCTGGCAAGCTTCTGCCCCCCCGACCCCCTCGCCAGGGAGGGAGCGGGCTGGCGGGCCCAGAAG